GCAAGGATTTAAAATGTTCCTTTGGACAGCCCAAACAAATTCCCAAAACTCCATGCATTCCCGGTTCCACAAGAGAGGAACTCAATTTTTCATTTTTTAAAAAATTCGGAGGCTTTTTTAAAAAATTAAATACCTTAAGAGAATGTTTCACTGTGGAAAACAAAAAACTTAAACCACCTTTTCTGGTTTTAGAATTGGGAACTGCTTTATTTCCATCAATTAAAAAGGCTTTTTCAATAAAATTTAAATTTGCTTTTTAAATTTTAAAATTTTCATTTTATCTATTTTGTTTGGTTGGATTGTTTGTACAAGTACTCTCTCTTGGATTCAAAATTTGGCTGTTTTGGTTTATAATGGAAATTGTACATAATATAAGTAATATATATTTCATTGCTTTTGCTTCTTAATTAATTTCTCTTTAAAATGATGAGTAAAGATAAACAAAGGTGAACAAAGTTTTGTTTGTGGAATGCAGTCTTCAAAAAACGAGAGCAAAGATCATCAAGCCGTTGTTTACAGAATGCAGCCCCCACACAACCCAGCCACACCTGTACCCACCAGGGCATCAAGAAAACAAGAGGGCCATGATGGCCCTGGAACACACACATAAGATATAATGCTAGAAAAATGCAGAAGTAACAAGTTGACACTTAGTATATCATTTTGACCCTATAATTTTGTATAATCAAAATGTAGAATGATGTCCACATGCAAGATATCTAAGGACTTACATGTGTTTTACTTAAGTCTTTATAACCTAAGTGACCCCTGAGATGGGTCCTGATAAAACTCTTGTAGAGGACCCCACAGTGATGTTATGTATATGCCAAATATCTAAGCATTGTAGTTTTAAAAGAGATGATTTTAAAGACATATTTACTATTGCAGTCTATATAAACTTGCTGATCCCCAGAGCGGGGGCCTTACAAACCCAGGGGCATTATTTATGTAACTTTTGTAAGGGCCTACAAGGCAATACTACATTTCAAATATCTATGCTCTGAACATTGTATCCACATAAAGATTAAAATGTGTCTTCCTATATACTAGTATGTCTAATTAACGTCACAGGTTATCTGCGTGGGACCAAGCCCTACCCCCAAGGTACCACCCCCCAGGACCCGCTATACTACCCTAATATACTTCAACACATTCAAAATACATGTCAATACAAAATCAAACAATTCTATCAAAAAATATAATACTGATACTATAAACTATGTATTCACAGTGGAGTGAATAATGACCACAACAGGAGGGGAATGATTTCTGTAACTTTTGTAGAAAACCACAAGGTGATGCTACATGCCAAATACCTGAATTCTAGTGAAGTCAAAAATGTTGTTTAGAAAGTGATGTTGTTTATACAATGGATGACAATTAATAGACACATAATCATCACAAAAGCTCACCAATGAGCACGTTGTGCTCAGGAGAGCTGAAAATGGGAGCAAGCACAAGAGCTGAAAATGGGAGCAAGCGCAAGGGCTGAAAATGACAGCAAGTGCAAGGGGTGAAATGGGAGCAAGCGCAAGGGCTGAAAATGGGAGCAAGCACAAGAGGAAAATGGGAGCAAGGGCAAGGGCTGAAAATGGGAGCAAGCACAAGAGCTGAAAATGGGAGCTAGCACAAGTGCTGAAAATGAGAGCACTTTGTGCTCCAGCACAAGGGCTGAAAATGGGAGCAAGCGCAAGGGCAAGCAACAAGAGCTGAAATGGGAGCAAGCGCAAGGGCTGAAAATGGGAGGCAAGCACAAGGGCTGAAAATGGAGTAAGCGCAACAAGGGCTGAAAATGGGAGACAGCACAAGGGCTGAAAAATGGAGCAAGGGCAAGGGCTGAAAATGGGAGCAAGCACAAGGGCTGAAAATGGGAGCAAGCGCAAGGGCTGAAAATGGGAGTAAGCGCAAGGGCTGAAAATAGGAGCAAGCACAAGGGCTGAAAATGAGAGCAAGCACAAGGGCTGAAAATGGGAGCAAGCACAAGAGCTGAAAATGGGAGCAAGCGCAAGGGCTGAAAATGGGAGCAAGCGCAAGGGTTGAAAATGGGTGTAAGCGAAAGGGCTGAAAAATTTAGAGACAGCACAAGGGCTGAAAAAGGGAGCAAGCGCACAGTGAAAATGGGAGCCGTGAAAATTGGGAGTAGCACGGGCTGAAAATGGGAGCAAGCACAAGGGCTGAAAAAGGGAAAAAAGGGCAAGGGCTGAAAAAATGGGAGCAAGCACAAGGGCTGAAATGGGAGCAAGCACAAGGGCTTGAAAATGGGAGCAAGCACGCGCAAGGGGGGCTGAAAATGGGAGTAAGCGCAAGGGCTGAAAATGGGAGACAGCACAAGGGCTGAAAAAGGGAGCAAGGGCAAGGGCTGAAAATGGGAGCAAGCACAAGGGCTGAAAATGGGAGTAAGCGCAAGGGCTGAAAATGGGAGTAAGCGCAAGGGCTGAAAATAGGAGCAAGCACAAGGGCTGAAAATGGGAGCAAGCATAATGGCTGAAAATGGGAGCAAGCAAAAGGGAGGAGAGAATAGGTGAAGCAACTACTGTTGTAATCAACAAATTATTCACAAAAAAGGAAATAATAAAAAATACAATTAAAAGGGCTGATATGGGAAAGAAGGGGATAAAGGTGGGTGAAAAGTCAAGAAACTGGAGAGGGGAGTGGGCAGGGGTAGGTGGGATAAATAAGGGTGTGGAAAAGGCACTCAGGAAAGAGTAGAGGAGCATACTAATTAATAAGTAATATAGGAGGAGAGGGACAAATATAGAGGAGGGTAGGCAAAAAATGTTGCATGATTATCATGTTTACATGATTAATAATGATTAAGCTGATGTTAGGGCATTGACAGTAGCTTGCACTTACCAATACTATCCTTGAACAGACCCAATCAAGCCAAGCATTAACATTTTCAATTTTGCCATTGCAGATGTTCTTTGAGTAAGGAAGCAAGTTTTTCTCTTTATAATTTTTAAGTTGAACATGCGGCTTTTGAATAAGACAAGTTTGGGATCAAGGTTTTTTTACCTGAGGGGGTTGCACAATTTCGACATAAGGGTTGTCAAGGTCATGACCCCCTAGCTCCCCCACTTTTGGATCTGTCCATGAATACTAAGCATTGTTTAATGCAAGGTTGCATTAGGTACTGGTTTTTTGTGACCTTTTGTCAAATTCTCAAAAACTAGTATATCCCATTAAGATAATATTATTATCATGATTATTAGGTGTTAAATCAGTTAATCCAAGTTCAGTCCCAGAAGATGTTTGTGTAGCAATGAAGCCTGTTTTGCACTAGAATTGCCCAAATGAACACATCCTTGTTGAACTACTCTCTCACTTTTTGTGTTCTGGTGGCAAACCATAATGTCATAACCACCAAAGGTTAAAAACTGGCACCAGTGGAGGCAAGTGAAAATATGAGAAAAAAAGACCGAACAAGATAGAGCAGCATTCACAAAATGCAGACCTCACTGACATAAAATGTTTAGAAAATACATGAACAGAAGCCGTTCCAACATGGCAATGAACTAACCTGAGGGCATTCCCATAACTCTATCTTGCATGAAGTGATAAAATTGTTAAGTAAATGTATCATCAAAGGAGAAAAAGGGTGGATACCTAGCTAGTGCAGAGCTAGTGCTATAAACATTTCTGGCACTGTGCTGGTTTTACACAGGGCTGTATCTATGTTTAACTTAATAAGGCCTTTTACATTTTTGACATATAGCACATATGGCTGATCAAATACAATGAATTGCTTTAAGATAGAATAATTATCATTGTTCATCATGGAACTCTGAATTTACTTGGAGAAACTTTGATGCCAACCACCAATTGGGAACTCAGCTGAAAGCATAAATGCATGCATGTATTGGTGGGGCGATAGCTCAGTAGGTTAGACCACTCTCTATCACTCCTGAGGTTTGGGTTCGATCCTGGGTAACACCCTTGGGATTTTTCAGAGACACTTTCAGTGCTTCCCACTTAACCATGGCAGAGGTAGACTGGTAAGAAATCCAGGTAATCCTTGCATGTATCAGTGCTATACACTGGGCATGTATAAGAACCAAGGGGTCTATTCAGTAAGAGCTAGGGACTGGTTCCCAGATTCCCTTGTATCTCATAGATGTCTCTGAAGTGACTTGTCTAGAGTCATGTCTACTTCCCCGTGAGGGGTTTTACATTAATGGAAGATATAAAGATAGTATTGCCCTCAAACCCTCTATTGCAAGCGAACATGGGGGTATGGGTGCACCTCAGATATTACATTGATTAAATTGTGATAACCTCACACCATGTTTACGTGTTTAGGTGATTTGAAAACATAAAAACAAAATAATTTTAATTATTGAATAAAGCAAATCTATCAGGGTCTTAATCAAAAGACAATTGAAAGACCTTGTATCTATAGGCTTTAAAGCTTAAGATTGTAAACCACAACTCGATAACTTTAATTTTATTTAATTTTTTTGCCATTGATGTCATAAATGTAATATAAAAGTGCATTTACATCAATTTTAATGAAAGTAGGCAATAACAAACAGCTGAAGTTTGTAACGGGATATCAAATTTAACTTTTGAGATGGTCCCTTTGTATGACAGGTGTCACTGAAATGGGCTAAAAATCCCAAAAGTTGGAAATATTCCAAATAATTTATGAAACACTAATATACATCAGAGAAGAACCCCATCTTTTACTGTATATTAAATTAATAACTGTTCCTTTAATTAACTCACACAAAAATGCAACTTTACATGGAAATAGCTTAAATCGAAATAGTAGTCAGTAAACATAATTGACAGTAGGGCACTCAATGGTGCTCAATCTGGTATCTAGTTTCCATTTATCTAATGATTTGATTTATTCTTAATTTTTGATATTTTGCGTTCTTAGTAATAGTGTATTGCACTTTTGTTAAACGTAGACGGGACATGCAAAATTGAGGTTTAACTTGCGAACTAGTTTTTGTTGCGGCGATAGTGACCTAATGACCTTCTAGATGTCAAAGTTATACCGTGTATTATTACGCAGCGTAATCTTGTGAGTAGACATTCCAACGGATAATTTAGCTAAATTCTCTGGATTTTGGAATATATTTTACTCAATATGGATACGTAAAGTGTATTATGGCGTGTCGCTATAGGGAAGAATTAGTTGGAAAACGCTTTATCTCCGTAAGGAGTCCACAAAAGCTTAAAATCCAAAAAATATCCGAATGGGAATGGCGGTCCGGTGTGGTACGGGCCGTAAGCAGTAAAGATTCGAGCAGTCTCGATTTATCTGTAAGTATAGTTACCTATGTTTTCGATCGTCTTAGACGATGTCAACACGCCTTCCTTCCAAACAAGGTCTGGACTGAATTTGTTTCTTTCTTGACAAGTTTTCATACATGTACCTTCGTTGTAATTCCATTGATGATTGACGGCATGCTACGGGATGACAACTTAATCATTTAGCACCCAGTTTATTTTGTTTTATTATTTTTATCTTCATTATATACACTATTAAATTAAATAAATAAGCATATTGAATTTTTTTAGGGTTTTAATTTGTATACGGTAAAATGAACAACAAAATTCTGATGAAGGAAAATCTAACTGGCCACTTTATGATAGTTTTGTGATATTTTACTCATATGGGGATACCTTATTCAGGACCTTAAGGAAGTACCAGTTTCCATTTCAATAAAGGAAATTTGCACATGATTATAAATGTTTGAACCAAACTTTGTTTAGGTTGGTAAAAATTTAAAATATACACAAAAATAAAAAAGATATTAAAAAAATAATGATTTAGTGTAGAAGTTTTCACTCCAACCAGTAAATAAATAAAATAAAAATATTCTTTATTAATATGGTATGAAAATAAAATTTCACTTTACTTTAGAATTAGATTATAGAATTTACTGGTTTAATGGTTATTTTGTTGATATTTTTAAATGTCAGAACAACAATAAGGCAATTTTTGTTGCAGTTTTCAAAATTAATGGTCATTGGCACATGTAGGTTTGCTTTCTTTTACCAAAGAAATTAATGAAGCTGACTCGGTGCCAGAATTCAGCAAATGATGGAATTTGGCACAATATAGCAGTTTGACCGAGTTTGTTTATTGTATCCCTGGTAATTTGAACACCAAAATCCAAATGTATGGTACAGCTAAAGATAATGATGAGGAAATGTTAGTAAGAAAAGCAAAATGATTTCATAAATTAGGTTTGAACCAATGTACATTCGTAGAATGATAAATTTATGAAACATTTATGAAACAAATGTTAAAGTTTTATGATGTTAGACATGTATGTCTTTAATTATAGATTTAATTTATAATAAAAGAAGATAATATTTTCCTATTAGTTACCTTTTTTCATATTAATTTAAAGTAAAAATTTTAATGAAGTTATTTTTTAGTTCGTGAGAAACAAAATTCACTGAGCTACATAATATTATATGAATAATAAATACAAGTCTAATATTTAATCTTAGGTTAATTGTTTCATCAATTTTCTTGGACTTTCTCATTTTCACTTAAGTAGGGTTCAAACCCACAGTCCCTGGCTTAACCGTTAGGCCTTTTCAAGTTCTCTCATTGATTTAATTTCTTTTGTAACAAACAATAGTTCAAGAAATACACTACCATCAGATTCTGTAAGCTTAAATTCTAAAAATCACATGAAAAATAATTGAATAGGAAACTAAACAATATTAAAAAAAAGAGCAGCATTATTGACTCAGATTTGACTACAGGTTTCATCATACACTTTTGCCTTTCCCTTTCTCCTCTGACAATTATTCAAAAGAAATATTCTGTAACATATTTTATATGATTGTAAAATACAGCAGAATGTTTTTAAGACAAAATTAAAGACAATTGTAGGAAAGGTATACAATTTAGATTGGAATAACCTATGCAGTCCATATATTTCATAATTCTGAAAACATGATAATGAATTGTATTAATACAGAGGCCTAAGAGGCATGAAATATTTTCCAAGTTGATAAAGCTATTTTTGATCTGACTGTAATACAACTTACAAGGCAATGTCTAGAAATGTGTCCACAGTACACAAATGTTTTGTCAGTTTATGGATGGATAGCAGGATAGATGGACAAAAGCAAATCTTTTATCTTTTATCCCCCAACCATATATAGGGGCAATAAAGTCCCAAAGTAGATTTAAACCAGTAAACTGGCTTGTATGATAAATGTTATTTGTCATCGTTTAAACATTCTGCTTATAAAAAAGGTACAAAAAACAAAACACCTAATAAGTGAGATTTGACACACTTTAATCATCTATTCTTCATAAAAATAAATCATCTATTCTTCATAAAAATAAATCATCTATTCTTCATAAAAATTTACAGTTTATTAGCATACAATACATGTATGTCAGTCAGTCAGAAATGAGCAGGTTTTACTTTCCATCTTGGCATGTGGTCAATGCAATACTTTTTGTTTAAGCTGCAAAGTAGCCAGGGATTATAGCAATTAATCGTGTTCATCTGGATTGGGGTGGTGGTGGGGGAGGGGGAGCTTCACTGGTGTGTGTTATCCAAAAGTCAGAGTCCAAGCTATTCTATACGGTTAGGCTGTGTGTAGGGATAAATTGACTGTTGCATAAGCATGTTTTTCCTGAGTAATCGGGGCATTTCCTCCCTATCACCAGGGGTATCTATAAGTTATCCGGACAATTCCCCTCCCGGACGATTCCCCTCCCAGTAAATTTGAATGTTTTTTTCACAACCCGGACATTTCCCCTCCCGTTATTTTTTTACGGCGGACAATTCCCCTCCCGTTCTTTTATCAACCCGGACAATTCCCCTCCCGTTCTTTTAACAACCCGGACAATTCCCCTCCCGCTGTTGTCAGAGCGGACAATTTCCCTCCCGTGGCTGTTGAATATATATATTTGGGATGTCATCTGGAGCCGAAACGGCCATCCGGATATCCGAATCAAACATCCGGATGTTCGGATTGTTGTTATATTCTTAGATGTCTGATATGACGTAACCATTTCTTCGCTACCTTTTTCAAAGTGTAGTATTTCGTTTTTCTTCCTTTTTAATTGAATGATACATATCAAAAATCTTCCGTTATTGATTTTTTTTCTTCTATATAGAATACGACTAGCTTTTATCAATGAATTAAGTGCGTGTGGTACTTACGATTTCAAATAAAATGGAAACGAAATTTGCCGCCGATTGTCTGAATTCCTCAATTAGCGCTATAATACGCAATAAAATTCGCTCACATTTGTGAAAACAAATAATACCCGTAAAAATTAAATATAATGTTTCCATTGTTCAATAACACGCATACAATTTACACACGATGACCTTTGACACGCGTGTAGCCGGCTTTTCAAAAGAATCTGCCAATCTTTGATGTTTACCATCATGTAGCACTGGCTGTTTGATTCGAATCATCAAAGAAAGTGCCGAAACTTACATGAATTACACACATTTTAAGTGTTCATAAGTGAAAAAAGAAATGTGAAAAAAAAAAATGTTTTTAAAAAAATGCACATGTTTGATTAATACTAAAGGAGAAAGTTATTTTGTCGGATAATTTTCGTATCAATTTCAATAAAAGCTTTGATAATTAACATATAATGCGTAAGTGAATTTCTTTATTTGCTATTTTTTTTTCTGCAGATTTTTCAATGTCTAAAAATAAGGAGTCGGCGGGTCGGTAAGCCGAAATATATATAAATATAATAACCTAATTAAATATTTAAATTTGGACATAAAAAAATGTAACATCGTTGCCGATGACAGTCGCACGGGACTTAGAATCTTACAAAACTTAAAATTGATTAACAACATGTTTCATAATTGACTCGTAATTATTATAGTAATTATTGAATTTTTTGTGGACTGCAGAGGTTATGATGTGTATTGTCAAACTAATCGTTATCCGAACGTTCGGATATCCGGACTCCGAATGACATCCCTAATATATATTATATAATATTGTTTATTTGAAAGGTATATATACATTTTTGCAATCAAGGACACATTTAATTAAGGGCGGCAATGATTAAAGATTTTTTATTGACAGTTTGTTTATCTTAAGCAGCGGCGGCAATGATTAAAGGCGGTATAATGTCACTTTTGTGAAATAATGATTGTTAAAAGTTCCGATCTATAACAGTTTATTGTTAAGAGTAAAAACTGTCATCTTTGATAAGAATGGTTATAGATTTTTTTATACGCAATGTGAAAAAACGGGAGGGGAATTGTCCGCTCTGCTAAAAAAATGGGAGGGGAATTGTCCGCTCTGCTAAATTAACGGGAGGGGAAAAGTCCGCCCTATTAAAATAACGGGAGGGGAAATGTCCGGGTTGTGAAAATAATATGGAAGGGGAATCGTCCGGGAGGGGGATTGTCCGGGATTCTATCTATAAGGCCCAATCCCTATTCAAAATAACCTCTTTTCCCAATTTAGAAAAAAAGAAGAAATAGAAATTCCCAACTATTAAATCAAGATTTTTGAACTTTTGAGAAAAATGGAACTGTTCAAAGTCATGACATATGATCATACATATTTTTATACATGTATGAGTAAACTTGAAAGCAATGTATATTTTTTTGTAACAATTTTGAATTTCTCAAATTTTCCAATATATGCAACATATTTTTTTCCCAATTTAAGCCAAGAGCCTTTACCCAAAGTAGCTGGAAAAGGCCCTGGTAATACAATAACATTGACAAACGTGTGTGTTTTTGAAATGCCATAATTATGTATTAATTTGGGAAATTTTATAAAATTGTTTATTACATCAATATCTTGGAATTTAAGCTGAAGATGTTCAGCATCTTGTTTTTTTTTAAAGATTTATTATATTTTTAAGAACATTTCTGTCTTGTACATGTACATTCTACAGCTGATTCATTTAATTTATGCGGAGTAGTTGGCAGATTGAATGTTATTCATGATTCATGAATGCTTAATATACATGTACACCAATAATATAATGACACTTTAATTGTAACAGACACTTTATTTTAGACATTCTAATGAAAATCTAGGATAATGAGATGTCTAGGTTCAAATTTGAGATGTAGCGTGTCTGTGTGTGCCAAATTATACTAGGAAAAAAACAACAAAAATCTTCCTGTATTTCCTGAAGTTAAAAAAGCCTCTAAATGGTATATTTGTAGACTGAATGTTTCAGAATAAAATCATAAATGTTGATAATTAAGAAGAATTGTGTCTGTAATGGTGTTTTGGTCCTGAGGGCACCATTAACTCTGACAATGTGTAGTATGTTGACTGAATGA